CCTCCCGGGTTCAATTGATATTTTGTGCCTTAGCCTCCTGCTTAGGTGGGACTGCAGGTGTGCACCACCACACTCAGCTGATTTTTTTGTCTTTTTAGTAGAAATGCGGTTTCACCATGTTGGCCAGACTGGTCTCTTACTCCTGACCTGAGGTGATCTGCCCCCCTCAGCCTCCCAAAGTCCTGGGATTATAGGCGTGAGCCACTACACCCAGTCTGTTCTATTTTATTATTGTTTTTAATCTGTTACTATGCCTAATTTGTAAATTACACTTTTTTTATAGGTATGTATGTATAACAAAAAACAGAATCAAGTGCTCAGTACCATTTGTCATTTCAGACATCCACTGGGGTTCTTAGAATGTTTCTCCCATGGGCCGGGCGCGGTGGCTCAAGCCTGTAATCCCAGCAGTTTGGGAGGCCGAGGCGGGCGGATCACAAGGTCAGGAGATCGAGACCACAGTGAAACCCCGTCTCTACTAAAAATACAAAAAAAAATTAGCCGGGCGCGGTGGCGGGCGCCTGTAGTCCCAGCTACTCAGGAGGCTGAGGCAGGAGAATGGCGGGAACCCGGGAGGCGGAGCTTGCAGTGAGCCGAGATCGCGCCACTGCACTCCAGCCTGGGCAACAGCGTGAGACTCCGTCTCAAAAAAAAAAAAAAAAAAAAAAGAATGTTTCTCCCATGGATAACTGGGCGACTACTGCATTTAAGAGGCGACTGAAGTGGTCCTGATGAAAGGCGATGCTGGCTTTAAGTAGGGTAATAGTGGAGATGGAGAGAGATAGGCAGATCTCACCAGTATTGAGGAAGAGGAAGGGCACAATATAGTTATGGATTAAAAGTGAGGTTAGGGCTGGGCGCGGTGGCTCTGGCATGTAATCCCAGCACTTTGGGAGGCCGAGGCAGGCGGATCACAAGGTCAGGAGATCGAGACCATCCTGGCTAACACGGTGAAACCCCGTATCTACTAAAAATGCAAAAAATTGGCCGGGCATGGTGGCGGGTGCCTGTAGTCCCCGCTACTCGGGAGGCTGAGGCAGGAGAATGGCATGAACCTGGGAGGTGGAGCTTGCAGTGAGCCGAGATCATGCCACTGTACTCTAGCCTGGGCGATAGAGTGAGACTCCATCTCAAAAAAAAAAAAAAAAAAAAGTGAGGTTAGGGAGTAAGGTTTGAAGTGGTCAAAGATTATGTATACTAGGTGTGTTGCATGAGCCATGTGTCATTGAAAATATCATTACCAATATATGGAAAGAGCAGGAAGAGCAGGTTTTGTCATAAATTGTGGAGCGTTTCAAGTGTCTATGTAGGCTGAGTGCAGTGGCTCACGCTTGTAATCCTAGCACTTTAGGAGGCTGAGGTCAGTGGATTACTTGAGGCCAGGAGTTTGAGACCAACCTGGGCAACATGACTAAACCCCATCTCTACTAAAAATAAAAAACGTTAGATGGAAGTGGTGGCACACACCTGTAATCCCAGCTCCTTGGGAGGCTGAGGCAGGAGAATTGCTTGAATCCTGGAGGTGGAGGTTGCAGTGAGCCGAGATCGAGCCACTGCACTCCAGCCTGGGCAACAGAGCGAGACTCCGTCTCAAAATAAAATAAAGTGTTTATGTAGCATATAGAGTTTTATAGCTGAACCTGAGGACAGACACAAATAGATAAAATTCGGGATTCTCTGTTATATTTTTATAATTGAGTTGGTAATGGAAATTTGGACAAGGAATAAGATTGCCTAGTGCTTCACGTGAAATAAGATGACATCTTAGGCCAGAGACCTGAGGAACGTCACCATTTAAAGGTTTGATAGGGTGATCAGAAAGGTGCTGCCAAAGAGGTAATAGAAAATCAGGAGAGTGAAATACTGAAAGGCAAGAAATATAGCGGTATTAGTCTGTTTTGTGTTGCTATAAAGGAATACCTGAAACTGGGTAGATTATTAATATAAGGAAAAGAGATGTATTTGGTTCACAGTTCTGTCGGCTGTACAAGCATAACACCAACACCTTTGGGCTGAGGAAACTTTTACTCATGGGGGAGTGGGAATGGGGACCAGGAGTGTCACGTGGTGAGAGAAGGGAGCAAGATGGCCGGCTCTTTTTACCAATCAGATCTCACGTGGACTAACACCAGCAAGAAACTCACTCATTACCACAAGGAAAACACCAAGACATTCATGTGGGATCTGCCCCCATTACCCAAACACCTTTTGCTAGGCTCCATCTTCAACATTGGGAGTATATTTTTACACGAGATTTGGAGGCACAAATATCCAAACTTTATCAATACGCTCTGTAATTTCTTTTTCTTTTTTTTCTTTTTTTTTTTTTTGAGATAGAGTTTCGCTCTTGTTGCCCAGGATGGAGCGCAGTGGTGCGATCTCGGCTTCACTGCAACCTCTGCCGTCCAGTTTCAAGTGATTCTCCTGCCTCAGCCTCCCAAGAAGCTGGGACTACAGGCACGTGCCACCACGCCCAGCTAATTTTTTGTATTTTTAGTAGAGATGGGGTTTCACCATGGTGGCCAGGATGGTCTCAATCTCTTGACCTCGTGATCCGCCCGCCTCGACCTCCCAGAGTACTGGAATTACAGGCATGAGCCACCGCGGCTTGCCAATAGACTCTCTGTTTTAAAAAATTATTTTTTGTAGAGATGAGGTCTCACTTTGTTGCTTAGGCAGTTCTTGAACTCCTGACCTTAAGTGGTCCTTCCGTTTTAGCCTCCCAAAGTGCTGTGGTTATATGTGTGAGGCACTGCATCCGGCCTCAGTAGGCTTTTATGGCTTATGCCTTCTGTCCTTTTGAAACTATTTCAACTTAATTTTCTACTCTAATTGTTTGTTGTAGTTTATATATGTATATAAGTGTATATATATTTATATGTAGGTTGTGTAAATATAGTATATGTGTATATATAGTGTCTGTGTGTATATATATAATGTGTGTGTGTCTCTGTGTGTGTGTGTATTTATATATATACACACACACATTTTTTGTTTGTTTTTTTGAGATAGGGTCCATTCTGTCACCCAGCCTGGAGTGCAGTGGTGCAATCATGGCTCACTGCAGCCTTCACCTTCTGGGCTCAATTGACCTGCCTGCCTCAGCCTGCTGAGCAGCTGGGACTACAGGTGCGCCACCACCACATGCAACTAATTTTTTTTTTTTTTTTTGTAGAGGTGGGATTTTGCCACGTTGCCCAGGCTGGTCTCGAACCCCTGGGCTCAAGCGATCTGCCTACCTCGGCCTCCCAAAGTGCTGGGATTACAGGTGTGATCCGCTGTGCCCGGCCTATATTACTATGTCGTATGCTGCAGAACCTCTTTTGGAAACAAACTGGGATATAAATAATACTCAAGTGCGACTTTCAGGAACGTATTCTTCATAGTAAGACAATGCTATTGAAACTTACTGTGTTTCATAAGAAGGGGTAGTACTGGCTCTACATTTATTTTTGCTTTTCCATTCTGAGGATGGGAGGGGAGGGATCCACAATAAATTTTGAGTACCATTGTGTTTGTACAATAATAGCTGATTAGCCTAATTCCTTTCAGAAGGGAAATCAGCATGCGTGAGATCATTTCTTGCCACTTAAATTAAAATTCTAAATTCGGTGAATTTGGCTCTTTAAGAGAAACCAGACCTACTTGACTGCAGTCATCCTAGCTGGCCATAAGACAGGAAGTAAAGGGCCAGGCGCGGTGGCTCACGCCTGTAATCCCAGCACTCTGGGAGGCTGAGGCGGGCGGATCACAAGGTCAGCAGAACGAGACCATCCTGGCTAACACGGTGAAACCCCGTCTCTACTAAAAATCCAAAAGACTTAGCCGGGCGTGGTGGCGGGCACCTGTAGTCCCAGCTACTCGGGAGGCTGAGGCAGGAGAATAGCGTGAACCCGGGAGGCGGAGCTTGCAGTGAGCCGAGATCGCCCCACTGTGCTCCAGCCTGGGCGACAGAGCGAGACTCCGTCTCAAAAAACAAAATCAAAACAGGACAGGAAGTAAACAGGTAACAGGCAGATGTTAAAAGCTTTGCTCCATTCCTGTGTTGAGAGGACCTTTTTGGTTTTTTCTCCCTCTCCCCAGGTAAATAATCCCAGCATCCTTGTGTTTTCATTAATGTAAGATTTAAAAAATTGTGGCAGGAGTTTTTTGTTTTGTTTTGTTTCTTTTAGATGGAATTTCGCTCTTGTTGCCCAGACTGGAGTGCAATGGCACGATCTTGGTTCACCGCAACCTCTGCCTCCCGGGTTCAAGCAATTCTCCTGCCTCAGCCTCCCCAGTAGCTGAGATTACAGGCGTGCACCGCCACTCCTGGCTAATTTTTTATTTTTAGTAGAGACGGGGTTTCTCCATGTTGGTCAGGCTGGTCTCAAACTCCCGACCTCAGGTAATCCACCTGTCTCGGCCTCCCAAAGTTCTGGGATTACAGGCATGAGCCACCAAGCCTGGCCCGTAGCAGGAGTTTAAAAGTCAAAATGTACTTTATTTATTTATTTTATTATTTTTTTTTTTTGAGATGGAGTCTGGCTCTGTTGCCCAATCTCAACTCACTGCAAGCTCCACCTCCCGGGTTGTCGCTGTTCTCCCGCCTCAGCCTCCCGAGTAGCTGGGACTACAGTCACCGACCACCATGCCCGGCTAGTTTTTTGTATTATTTTAGTAGAGATGGGGTTTCACCATGTTAGCCAGGATGGTCTCGATTTCCTGACCTCGTGATCCGCCTGCCTCGGCCTCTCAAAGTGCTGGGATTACAGGCGTGAGCCACTGCACCCTGCCTAAAATGTACTTTAAAAAAACAGCTTGTCCTCTGAAGAAGATCACATGTCCTCGGGAACAATTGTTTGTGAAGAAAGTTCTGAAATACTCTTGGGGGGCAGCTAGTACAAATGCTGCTCTCCCATTTTCAGGAGTTTTGAAGTTGTAGGGAAGATACTACGTTTTTGATCATCTGAAATCTTTCTTCATTACCTGTTTCTTTTCTTTTCTTTTTTTTTTTATAGCGATATGAACTGTGTCCCCATCAGGATGGAGCCTAAAAAAGAACAGATAATGGGGGTAAGTGCAGAGATTTCTTGAAAAAAATTTTATTGAAAACTGGGGCTGTGGAGTATCTTCAAATACCTGGTAGTTTATTTTATTTCATCAAATTAACCAGCGTTTTCCACTCATATTTAACAGTAGTGGCTGTAATTTATGAATCCTTATTGTATTGACCCACAATTTTTCTACTTTGTGGACAAACAAGCATTGGATATTTTATGCAGAATGATCTATTAAATACATACTTCTAATTAAAATTCTTATTTTTTTGGCTGGGCGAGGTAGCTCACACCTGTAAGAGTCCAGCCTGGCCAACATAGTGAAACCTGGTTTCTACTAAAAATAGAAAAATTAGCCAGGCGTGGTAGTGGTGCCTGTAGTCCCAGCTACTTGGGAGGCTGAGGCAGGAGAGTCGCTTGAAGTCGGGGAGTGGAGGTTGCGGTGAGCCAAGATTGCACCATTGCCCATTAGACTGTGTGACAGAAGGAGACTGTCTCAAAAAAAAAAAAGAAAAAAAAAGTCTATTTTAAAAAATGGATATAGTTTCTTGTGTTAGGAATTTTTTTTGAAAAATGAGCCACAATTTGTTGTTGTTGTTAGACCTAAAATCTGTTGTTTTAGGTTCCTTTTTTCTCTTTTATACATCTCTAGACAGATGATGTTTCTAGTGAATATTAATTTTACTTAACTCTGAGGATCTTTGTTGCTTGAATATAAAGAAATGTTGACTTTTAGGCAGGGTGTGCTGCCCGACACCTGTAATCCCAGCTCTTTTAGAGGCCAAGGTAGGAGGCTCACTGGAGCACAGGAGTCTGAGACCAGCCTGGGCAACATAGGGAGACCTTGGTCTCTGCAAAAGTAAATATAAAAAATAAAAATAAAAGACTTAGTTACACATGGTGGCATGCGCCTGTAGTTCCAGCTACTTGGGAAGCTGAGCCAGGAGGATGACTTGAGCCTGGGAGGTCGAGACTGCAGTGAGCCATGGTCATACCACTGTACTTCAGTCCCTGGGACAGGTGAGAGTGACACCCTGTTTCAAGAAAAAAAGAAAGAAAGAAATGCTGACTTCTGTATCACGTTTTGGTGTGCTTTCCTATGGACTCTTGTGTATTCCTCATTTTCTTCTCCACTTTTAGTTACCTTTGTCAGAGAAATGATATTTTTCTACAACTCAGTACTATTCTGACATGTGTACATGTGAGTTTATTAGACCCTGGCATATGTGATGAGGTAGCTAAAAAAAGTAGAAGTTTAGCTATTATTACTATACTCTTCTCCAGTTTGGGTAGCCACCTCTAAAGTAGTTTTGCCATAGACTAGAGTAATGGTGTGAGTAGATAAAAGGGAAAAATACAATGATTTTGGCTAGCTATATATATTTTATGGTTTAATTTTCAGACTATGTTATACAGTCAGATTGTACAAAATTTGAAAATATATTCAAAACCCTTCCTGTTACTCCTCTTCCTCATCTGCCCAGTTTATCAATAGCTTTCCTGCTACCGTGTAATTGTTACTTTCTTGCATGTCTTTCTAGGTTTCTTTTGCATATTCAAATATGAATAGACAAATATTTACTCCCTCCATCTTTATACAAATGGGTTAATATTATATACTCTTCTGCATCTTAATTTATTTCACTGAACAATTTACCTTGTTTTTTTTTTGTTGTTGTTTGTTTGTTTGTTTGTTTTTGAGATTTTTCTTTTCTTTTTTGTTGAATTTTCTTTTTTTATTTGAAGCTTTGCTCATTCACCCAGGCTGGAATGCAGTGGTGCAGTCTCAGCTCACTGCAACCTCCACCTTCTGGGCTCAAGCGATTCTCCTGCCTCAGCCTCCCAAGTTGCTTGGATTACAGGTATGCGCCACCACGCCCAGCCAATTTTTATATTTGTAGTAGAGATGGGGTTTCACGATGTTAGCCAGGCTGGTGTTGAACTCCTGACCTCAAATGATCCTAGTCCCTCGGGCTTCCAAAGTACTGAGATTACAGGCGTCAGCCACCGCACCCGACATGAACAATTTATCCTGTTATCAGTACAGAGCTTTTTTTCCTTCTTAACCATGTTATCTAATTGATCAGTTGTTGATGCACTTTCTGATCTTCTGCTTTGATAACTAACTCTTGTATATGTGTCATTTGCTTGTATACAAGGATATCTATAGGCTTATTAATTTCCATAGGTGGAAACATTGGGTCAGAGGAGTGTTGCAATTAATTTTGATAGATAGTCCCAAATTATTCTCCCTGTAGTTTTACGAAATATGTTCCCAGTTTTACCAATATACGAATAAAAAAGCTGTTCTTCATACCTTTGGTAATCTAACAACAGGTAAAAGTTTGCATATCCAAGCAGTAGTTTTGCATTTCTTTTAGTATTAGTGAAGTTGACTTTTTTTTATAGTTTGAAGAGCAATTTATTCTTTTCTGTGGTCTGCTTTTTGACTTGGTTGTTGATATTTCTTTTTTTTTTTTTTTTTTTTTTTGAGACAGGGTCTCCCTCTGTCACGTAGGCTGGAGTGTAGTGGCTTGATCTTGGCTCGCTGCAGCCTCTGCCTCCCCGTTCAAGGGACTCCCTGTCTCACTCACCCGAATAGCTGGGATTCTAGGCGCAGGCCACCATGCCCGGCTGATTTTTTTATTTTTAGTAGAGACGGGATCCACCCACCTCAGCCTCCCAAAGTGGTGGGACTACAGGTGTGAGCACCGTGCCCAGCCACAGTTGTTGATTTTTTAGTGTGATTTATTGGAGCGTTCATAGGAGCCCCTCATATATTATTATGCTGTTTTCATATGAGTTGGACTAATTTTTGCCCATCTGGTTAGTCTTTATTTATATTGTGCTTTTGAAAAAACCTTTTTTTTGTTTGTTTGTTTTTTTACCATGCATGGGTTTTTAACTTCATTTTGTTCAACTTATTAATCTTTCATGATGTCTGTATTTTGAGTTATTAGTTAGAAAGGCCTTCACTATTCCAAACTTGGGTTGTTGTTGTTGTTGTTGTTGTTGTTTTAAATGACTGGTTTTCATTCTGTTGTTTGGGCTGGAGTGCAAGTAGCAGGATCCTAGCTCACTGTAGCTTTGTAGTCCCGGGCTCAAGTGATCTTCCTGCCTCAGCTTTGAGAGTGTTGGGATGACAGGAATGAGCCACTGCACCTGGTGTAAACCTTCCATCTTATTACATGTTTTGTATTTGTCTTTCCTATTCTGGTTTGTTTCACTCATTCCATTCTACCCTCTCTATTAGCTTACAAAAAAGTTAATGTTACTATGTAGTTGTTTTCTCTTCTGAATCCTCTGAAACTCTTAGGATACTGTAAATTCACTTGTCCATCTCCTGACATGTATTTTATTTTCTTCATGTACTTTCATTCTCTGTTTCTTTAAGAATTATAGTGGTTTTGTCAGGTGTTTGTTGAGGATTATGCTTGTCACTTAAAATGAAACAGTTTGTGTAAATTTGGTGTCGTTTTTCTTTGAATTCTATATAGAACTTCGTGAGAAACAGAAACTCTTCTGGGAAAATTTCTGATAAATTTGTTTTTTGGCAAAATTATAGGGACATTCCTTTTTCTCTCCTTTCTCTTTTCTGTCCTCCCTCCCTCCCTCCCTTCCTCTCTTTCTCTCTTTCTCTCTTTTTTTTTTTTTTTTTTTTTTAGCAGTGTATCACTTTGTTGCCCAGTGAGCCAAGATCAGTAGGTGAGAGTGCAGTGATGAGGTCATAGCTCACTGCAGCTTCAAACTCCCAGGTTCAAATGATCCTCCTGCCTCAGCCTCCTGAACAGGTGGGACCACAGGCACACCATGCCTGGCTAATATTTTTTCTTTTTCTATTTTTTGTAGAGACAAGCAGTCTCACTTTGTTGCCGAGGCTGGTCTCGAACATCTGGGCTCAAGCTATCCTCCTGCCTCATCCTCCCAAAGTGTTGGGATTACAGGCGTGAGCCCTTGGGCCCAGCCTATTTTTATATACTTAAGTCAATTTTCGTGCGCTGTATTTTTCCAAGACTACTTTGTACAGTTGCTGAAACTGTTGGACTAACATTGCCAATAGTATGTATGTATGTATGTATTTATTTGTTTGTTTATTTATTTATTTTTGAGATGGAGTCTTGCTCTGTCACCCAAGCTGGAGTGCAGTGGCACGATCTCGGCTCACTGCAGATCCACCTCAGGCTCAAGTGATTCTCTGCCTCAGCCTCCCGAGTAGCTGGGATTACAGCAGGCACCACCAGCCCAGCTCATTTTTTTTTTTTAGTAGAGAGAGGATCTTGCCATGTTGGCCAGTCTGGTCTTGAACTCCTGTCCTCAGGTGAACCACCCGCCTTGGCCTCCCAGAGTGCTGGGATTACAGGTGCAAGCCACTGCACATGGCCGCCAATAGTATTTTATTATTATTTTGGTAATTTTGCTAGTATTGGTTTATTACCCCATTGTTATTCCTGATGTTCGTGAATTTTTTTTTAACTTAATTTTTTTTTTTTTTTTTGCAGATGGAGCCTTGCTCTTGTTACCCAGGCTGGAGTGCAGTGGCAGAATCTTGGCTCACTGCAACCTCCGCCTCCCTGTTTCAAGTGATTCTCCTGCCTCAGCCTCCCGAGTAGCTGAGATTACAGGTGCACGCCACCACATGTAGCTAATTTTTTGTATTTTTAGTAGAGACGGGGTTTCACCATGTTGGCCAAGCTGGTCATGAACTCTGGACCTCACGTGATCCACCCACCTCGGCCTCCCAAAGTGCTGGGATTACAGGCGTGAGCCACCACACCCGGCCACATGCTGGTGATTTGTGTTCTGGATTTTTCTTTGTTTTAATTTTAATTTTAATTTTTTTGACCAGTCCAAATAGAATTGTTCAGTTTTGTTGACCTTTTTAAAGAAAGTTTTGGACTTTGT